CAAAATGAAGACAAATAAAAAAAAGCATTCAGGTTAAAGAAAGATTGATTCTTTCAAGATCATATATATATATATATATTACTTTCTCTCAAAAAGGAAACTTTTAAGACAGGCACAATTTCGCAAAGACGTCACTGATGAACACATAGCTAAGAATAGCTGGTTTCGTTTAAAACTCACTTTTTTATTAAAAAAAACCATAATGAACTGTATAATTAATTTACTTTTGCTCCTCCTGTTTTAGTTTAAAGTGGAACATTTGTGTATTTTCTCTAAATACTTTAGATGAGTCGTATTAGAGCTGCAAAATGTGCTATTTGCGACGATCTGGCTAACCTCTCAGAAGGTGATCCGAAGACATTGTACTATAATTTTCATCCTCAAACATCATTGTTTTGGTAGCCTGAAGGTTTGCTATTGAATGTGGACAGAAGAAATTTTACAAAAATACGCTTTAGTGTGTGATGTCACAATAGGCATTACATATTTTCCTGCTCTTAAAATTTTTATATATTTTTGAAACTTATTTTTTTAATCATTCTTAACCAAATTTTAATTAAATTGAATCAATTATTTAATTTTTATTACTTATGAAAAGCTAATATAAAATATTTTATTCTTTTCAAATCGATCAATGTAATGAACAACGTTTAATTTTAATACTAATGAAGACTCATTTATTCACTTTATCGAAAACAAAAACATATTTTAAACTCTTTATTCCTTATTTCTTACCACAAAAATGTTTCAGTTACATGGTTATACTGATTCTCACAGTCTTTACGACGATTCGCCTTTGCCAAATTATTTTCAAATTTATATTGAGTATGGGCGATTGGCTTTATTTTTCAGTTGCGTTATTTTTCGATAAATTAAAAATCTTGGATCTCTTCCCATGCTTCTAACTCTCTGTTGGGAACAATGCAATCACTTTTTAAATTAGCTTTTGATTAGACTAGTCCTGGGGGATTTATCTCCCATGGCCAGGTCTTATTAACATTATTATTCAAAGTTAATTATTCAACTTACAAAGTCTTATTATGGATAAAATAAAATTTTTTATCTCGACCTCTACAAATACTAAATGAAAGTTTCATTGTAATTATGATCCAGTTTTCATTTTCAACTGTCATTTTCATTATCCTTTTTTCATCAATTAGTCAATTATACTATACAACCACACCTTATTCTGTTATTATAAGGCAGGGATGGCGAACCAATGGCACGCGTGCCATTTGTGGCACCCGACACAATATTTCGGGCACGCCACCGATCACAAAGTTCACTATGAAGCATATTAACAATTAATTTAATATTCACAAAAAATTAACAGAAAAAATGAACAATTAATGCCAGGAAAGCAATTAATAAGCATAAAAAACCCAAGCTAACAATAAATAACTAGCAAAAAAAATTAACAGTTCTGCTTAAACTACCGTCTTATAACCTTAATATAAGTTATTTGTCATCTAATCTGCAACAACATAAGTCACACTGATGTTACTTTATGTTGAATTACGCTTATAACTGAGACATTGCAATTTTTTTTTCGTAGTAAGCAAAGAGTTTTGAGTTGATAGTATTTAGTATTATTATTTACCCAATAATCACGAAGTCAAAACTATTTGTCGGCACGTCTATGACCTCATTAAACAATTTTTTTAGAAAAATTGGCACGTTGGTGCATAAAGGTTCGCCACCCCTGTTATAAGGTGTTTCAACCAAATATTAAACTTTAGAAAAATTCATTTTCAAATAATTTTAAGGATTGAGTTAAATATATATTTCTCTTTCCAGTGGAAAAAATCCTTTTCCAATACTTCTAAACACAATTTTATTCGCCAAAATTACGATGCATCGCATTTATTGACGAATACTTAGCGCGGGCCCTGATATTGGAGATTTTGCGCATTTTACATACAGAATTTAAAAATGAAAAAAATATTCTGAGATTTAAAAAGAAATCTAAATTTGGCAAAGCCTTTCTAAATAAAAAAAAGAATGATTTTTTATTCAAAATAATTAAAAAAATATTTAAGCAATAATTTTGACAGCGAGAATTTATTTCAGTTATAGACAACATTTCATCATAACATAAGACAAAAAAAAAGCATTCAAGTTAAAGAAAGATTGATTCTTTCAAGATCTATAAAAGAAATTCTCATTTTGTAACAGATTAAATACTTTACACTTCAGCGATTATGTCACTAGAAATAGAGAAGTTTTTTTTCCCCCTAAGGAACCACCTTGGGAGATTATGGCGTAAAGCGACTTGTTTCCTATTGACACTTTCACCTTAACGCATGACTGAATGTCACCATATACCCCGTGAACCATAGTCAGTACCAGTTTTCGAGAAAGAAAGTGACAAAACGAAAAATCACCTCAAAATTACGGTCAATGCAAATTTACTTTCCATTTCTATTTGATTCGCTTCGTTTAAGCCATTGTTAGCTTAGAAATGGATTAAATCGTGCGGGGTATTTATAATTAAAGAAATGTTTTTTTAGAGTTAACTACAAAACAAACGAGCGTTGAGTGCATTTTGTGGTCATTATAGTTTATCAAAAAAGAAAAAGAAATCAGCAATAAAAAAAATCAATAGGATATTTAAATATAAAAATTTATTATAAATTAATAAATTAAAAATATTAAGATTAAAAAGCTGTTACTGTTAAAAAAAATAAAGCCTTCTTATTGTTTATAACAAATTATTAGTGTAGTATGAATTTCGTAGTCTAACAAATTATTGGTAAAAGGGTTGGAAAATAAATTAGTTTATGAAAATAAATTAGTAAATATAAATGAATGAATTTAAAAGCAGAGTTAAGATTAACAAATTAAAACAATCAACTTTTATAATTGTTTTACAATAATTGAAACAACCGCAGTGCTGATGTGAAATATCATCAGTGGTAAACGAATTAAGGGTTAGAGTTTTCATGGTTTTTCTCACCATTTAATGAAAATGTGGGTTAGTTTTATAAAAAAATGTCCTCCATGATTACAAATTTCTCCAAAAACTAGATCCAGGAGTTCCCTTGTTTACTGTACTGGATCCAAAATTAGAAATCTCTGCAGTTGGTCATTGATAGTTGAAACATCTAACATTG